CTAGTCCAAGTGGGCCCGCGTGATCTTTCTCAAGCTTGTTTTCGGTTAAGAAATGGCAGATTGAGATGAACTGATCCAAAGGGTTTCTGCACACGTAGATGATTTTGCATGTAGATTCCCGTATCGAATCAGCTAGGGCTTTGAAAGGCACGTGGGTCGCGAATATTCTTGGATCAGTGGGTTGATCGAATTCATGAGGGTTGTTTTCTTCAAACATGACTAGGAAAGGCACAAGTGTGTGGGGATTGCATGTGAGTAGAGGGTTTTGACCAATATCACAACAAATAGTACCGCGGTTAACTATTGAGAAAGCGAGGGCTTTCAGCCAAGTGGTTCCTGATTTAGGAAGGGTCGACAATATTATGTCAGAATCTCTTGCTTTGAAGTGCTTATGAGACGAAAGTACTGATCGGAAAAATATTTTCAAATACCAAGAGCCTCGGTATTTCACCATCGGACTGCCGTCCCAGTTTGTTTGTTGCTCAAGTGTTTGAAGAAAGGACTCTGAAAAATCGTCATCCTCGTTTCTCTCTTGTTTTTTCTCCATCTATATATTTTAATTAATTTCCAGTGAATTACAACTCACCCGCGTCTGTTCTTTTATAGCTAGCATGCATTGGGGTTCATTATATTATTAATCTGGAGCATTAAATATATAAAAAAGACAAAGAAAAGAAAAAGTTAGGCATTATATTCATAAATATACAGCTTTAAAGAAAGGTTAGGCACTTCTAGAGGTTTGCTGCAACGTACGTTTGAGAGCTAGGAATGTACGAGGATGTGGAAATTGTGACAGCATTTCTATCCCTATATAATTTTGCCAACCCCTATTGGATCATGTGATTGATATTAATTAGATCATACCTAATTCATGTTGAATCCTCTATATAAAAAAAGGGTTATTTGTTAAATACTCCCATTGAGATTTTACTTCTTGATAAATCCTTAATTTGTAATTAATATTTAACTTAAATTTATTGGGTTTAAAAAATCTTATATGCCCCACTAATTAGTATAATTATTTTAAATAAAAAATACGGTGAATTAAATGCATTATCCCTCTCAAAATCACATTACCTAAAAATCCTCCCAATATTTCTCTCCCCAAAATCCTCCCAATATTTCTCCATATCTCCACAAATCTCGCCCCCAACTTCCCTAGTATCTCGAAAATCCATTTCATCTTTTTTTCTGTTGATCTCCAAATACTGCAATAATGGTTTCACGTATACTGTAAGAAAATCTACTATTATTCTTGGACAAAAACTTCTTCTCTTTAGGGCAAACAACATACATATATTGGTTCAACATCACACAAGCTTTTTCGGTAAAAAAAATTGACGTGTATTACAGTAGAAATGGCAAAATTCACTTTGCACAATAGTGGATTCAATAAAATGGGAAGGTCAAAATCCATGGATTTAATAAGGGAATGGCAGAAACCACTCTGCGCGCAAAAACCACTATGTGCACGAAAACCACTATGCGTACAAAAATCACTCTTGCATTTGTTTAATTATCAACACAATGTGTACAGTGCACCAGACATATATATATCAACAAAACGTGTACATACACATACAAAATACTGTCCTATTAAATCAATACAAAACCTCACTTATAACTTATCTTAAATTTTCATGGGAGCCGAAAACCACCATGTGAATCTGCACCGCCGCCGCTTATCCAATGGCACAAACAATTATTATTTATGTGAGTTACAATTTCGATTCCACATAAACGGAATTGTGCAATCAATAAGCGTTAATGGTGGGATTAATTGAAAAAATGCTCATTAAAATATTTATGTAGAAGATATTATGTATCTTCTCTAATAGCAGATATTAAAAATACGTGTATTAATTAGTTAGGGGCATAATAGTGATAATTAAGGGTTTTTAATTAATAAAAGCTCTTTTGGATTTATCTTAAAATTGAAAAATAAATTGGGCCTAATATAATGACCCTTGTATAATGGAAAGGTTTTGTCAAATTATCCTTATAAAAAATGACAATTACATTTAATTTTAAAGATTAAGGAATATTTATATATATCTCTATTTAAAATAATAATATGGTTTTGGGCCTTGATTGAACCCTATTAGCTCGATGGGCCCAATTGGGCTTGTACTTCTAAATTTATTTTTATCTGATTTTTTTTGTCGTCGCTATTTTTTTTGTCTTTTTATCCCTTTTTTTTAAAGCAATTTCCCCCACTAATCGGAGTTCACCACAGTAATATTGTTGTGCTTGACAACAATGTTATTGTACTATTAAGTAATTATTATTAACCACATTAAGATTATTTTTGTTCTTTTTTTTTACCGGTCAACACAATAATATTATTGTTTGTATCGAGCAAAATTTTCATAAATGTATATCAAGTGATTAAATAATAAAATAAAAAAGTCAACACCGGTGTCGGGCATTGACCGTCGGTCAAAGCAGACAAAAGAATCAGGAAAAATAAAAATCTAAAGAATATCAAAAAAAAAAAAAAGTTAACGCCGAAAATTGGGGTAAAATTAAGGTTAAAGGGATAAAGTTGAAATGTATTAAAATTTGAGGGGGTATTTTAGTTGTTTGTAAATGAGTTTTTTAGATGGACCTGGTTATAAATAAACAATACACCATGGATGATGCTAGCCAAAACCTGCAGCACAAAAGAGATAGAAAACGATAGATGACCTAGAACCACTCAACTGGCAACAACAGACTCAAACGACGCTACTAATCGCAGAGTCACTTAAGGCGACCAAGTCACTCACTTCTACAAAGAGGAATCACTCACTCTCAATGCAATTAACTTGTAAAACTATGAACTTAAACAATCATACTGATTTTATTCATTGATAGGGTTTATAAAGGAGTTTGGAACATCCCTCCAAACATTGAAAATTACAACTTTGAATGACTTCTCAACTTTGTATACTAGAAAATAAATAATCTTGACACTGATTCATGAAATGCATAGAATATGACCTGATTAACTAATAATAATATGAATCATTCAAAATTTAAATAAAATAAATAGAACACTAAGAAACACCAAAAGACACAAGTGTCTTTTCCCGAGTGCAGATACGTTGGCAGATTCTAGAAAATTGAGCATAACTTCTTCTTCTAACCTTTGTTTCATAAACCCTTTTTTTTAATTGAAAATTAGACTTTCATACCTTTTTAACCATATATTATACACAACTTAACTCTTTTAGAATTGCAACAGATGATTTTTCCAAGTTGACTGATCAAGACCAATTCTGCATCAATGGACTTAGAATTGGTAATAGTCAATCCTTCTAATATAATGCGTGTGATGAGTAGATATGTATACGTGCACAAGTAATCCTGCAATCTATCATTTATTTTTCTCGCCTAGGGCACATTTCTTTCAATTGATAAAAAATATATTTTCATTCATTTCCAACTACATATATTTAATATAGGATTAAATACAGTTTACACTCCTAGAGCATATTTTATGTAACACTTATTCAATACATGATTAAAAGTAATCTTAATTGTTTAAATTTATTTTAGTTCATTAATTTCTTAAAATATATTTCATTTATTATTATATAATATATATTATTTTTTAATGTTTTTTTCTATTATTTAATTTTAGTTACTTTTCATTTTATTATGAACCAATAGTGATTAGATTTTTATGTTTATTATGTTTTAAATTTAAAAAATAAAATAATTAATGTTGAGGAAAGTAAGCGTTACAAATAATATTTTAAGGGGTAAGTGTTACATACGCTATACTTCATGGCAAAGTATATTTAACTCTGAAGTATAATACTCTAGCTATATTTACTTTAATTTAAAAACTAAATAAATATTTTCAACCAAATAAAAAATTAAAAAAAAATAATCTCCACTTCATGTTTGTAACATTGTTTAGCTTATCTGTCCCTGTCAATGACTTCGCAGTTTGAGCAAGTCTACACTATACCAAGTATTTAACTAGTTCCGGACAAAGTCTAATCTCTAATATAAGGGTAAATTACGAAAACCCGCTAAATTTAGATTAAAATACAAAACCACCTCCACCTATTTGTAATTACCAAAAATTCTCTGAGATTTGTTTTCGTCTTACACCAACCCTTTTACAGTGTGACTTTTCACGGAATTTTTTTTTTTTCAGGCAATAGACTTTACACAATTTCATATATTTTCTTTTATTTCTCGCATATTTAACAGAAGGTATAATAGACTGCACACATTTTCTATTAAAAAACTCGATCAACAGCTAATCAGATGAAGATTTTGGTTATTGCGGATATATAGCTGGGGTGTTTTTCGTTATTTAGCCTAAGTTCAGGGGTTTTTTTCGTAATTTACCCCTAATATAATTATACATATATTACCTTGTTTTGATCAAGAAAAAAAAAACACACACACACACCAAAATAAAAAAGAATGAAGCAGTACCACAATAAGCAGCATTTCAGCCACGAACACATCCTGGCACCCCTCCATCTAGACGCCGGCGAAGAAATCAAATGCGACGGCTGCGAAGAACTTGTCTCCGACACCTTCTACGGCTGCCTTGAGTGCAATTTCTTCCTCCACCCGGTTTGCTCGGAGGCCCCTCGGTCCATGGTGCACCCCTCCCACCCGGACCACCCGCTAACCCTCCATCAGAACCCAACCTACTCGAGCCGAGCCTACTGCTGCGACGCGTGTGGGTCCGGCGGCAAAGGCTTCAGCTTCAGCTGCGCCCACTGCGAGTTCGATCTCCACATCCTCTGCGCGGCTCTTGCGCCGACTTTCCTCTTCAAGAAGGAGCACCCGCACGAGTTCAAACTCGTGTGCGAGCCGGAGAGGGCCAACAAGCTCACGTGCTACATATGCAGTGTCGGGAACCAGGGGTACTGGCTGTACTACTGCGGCGCGTGCGGTATTGGCGCGCATGTGAATTGCTTGTCGTCCAAGCATGAGGAGGATAAAGGGAGAGTGAATGATGGTGGTGGGACTAAGACGAAGAAGCAGGTTTCTGTTAAGGGGGAGTCGTCGTCTTCTTCGTCGGTATCGGTCGGTCGGAAAACGGAAGCGGAGGCGAGACGTGTGGAGGAGGCGACGCTGGAGGCGCAGAGGCAGCTGCTGGAAAAGAGGCTGGCGCAGCAGTTGATGCTTGATGCTATGGATAATGCTAGTGACTATGTTGGACCGCCCTATACCAGAAAATACTATTACTATTGACATATATATATATATATATATATATATATATATATATATATATATATATATATATATATATATGTGTGTGTGTGTGTGTGTGTGTGTGTAGCATCATCATACATGGTTATAACTGAATGATATATAATAAGAGTTTTCTTTAATTTTTAGCGATTATATTTTGCTGTATAAATTTGTTAGAATACTTAATCGCGCGTGTTATTACTTATTATTGTGGGGGGTGATGTGAGATATGTTTTGAGATATCATATATGTTTTGATAAGAATGAAAAGTAAGTGTGTTTGATTTTGTCGGTGCATCTTTTTTATTATGTTTTAACCTTGTTAATTAAAAGGAAAATTACAGTTTCCATCCCTTGCGTTTGCATTTATGTTACGTTTGGTCATTCATGTGTTTAAACAATTTAACAATTTTGGTCATTTTCGTCAATTTACCGTCACTCCGTCGGTTAAGGCAGTGATGGGCAAACGCTTGATTTCTTCAGTACTAACGGAAAATTGTTTAAAAGTGTTGATTATTTTTAAACATAAGGGACAACATGTGTTTTTTTGTGAACATGAGGATCAAATGTAAAATTGATGCGAACTTGAGAGACCAAAACTTTATTTTTCCCATTAATTAAACTATAAGTATTAACTCTCCCAATCACATCCTTAAATAATAATCAAGGTAATTTTAGTATTTTTAACGTATTTTTCCTAAAATTAAGACACACTTATTAACATTCTTGTAAATATTATGTAAAACTGAAAAACGACAATTAATTACAAACGAAGGGAGCAACAATTAGAGATCAGGGTCCACATCATAGTTGAATAAACAATTAAATTCGAACATATAAATTTTAACTTCTGAGGATCTAATCATGACATAATATAAGTTCCTTGACAAGAATTTTTTTTTTCAATTAAAAAATGATAATTTAATTAGTAATTAGTAAGTAATAACTTGTTTTTTCGTAAATTGAATCTTTTTTTTAGTAAAAACCCTAAAAGTTGACTTGAAAGATTAATAATTGTGGATATATTGAACTATGAGAATTGAGGATTGAGAGACTAAAGATTATATCTCTTAAAATTTTAAGGGAAATTAGATGCTACGTCTGATCCGGTTATTTACATCAGATATTTGTTAACCATAAATTTATATATAAGGCTAAATCCTGAGGTATGGTCAATTTACGAAAACCCTCCTCTTGTTTGGGTAATTATAAATCTTCTTCAATTATAAATCTTCTTACACGTTTATCCTTGCGGTTTCAAATTTAATGGAATCTTCTAGATTATATGAAATATTATCACTTTATACCTGTTTATCCCATTCGAGCTCCACATTTTGAAGCAAGATGATCATAAGATGTGGTTTTTGGCTTGTATATATCAGATTGTGGTGAATGAGAAACTGTATTTTTTATACACAAAACGAGTACAAACTAGAGCACATTCAACGTAATCTAGATGATTATGTTTAATTTGACACCACAAGGGTGGAGGTGTAAGAAGATTCATAGTTGAAGGGTAGATATAATTATCCACATAAAATGAGTTTTTTTCGTAATTTGACCATACCTCAGGGTTGGTTGTAATTTACCCCATATATAAGTACATATTCATGTGTATGTGTGCTTAGTGGGTGATTATTAAACATAATCTACATTTAATAATTACCCGATATATATAACCAAATGTAGTATCTAACTCCCCGTATTTTGACTTATGTAACAAATATATAAAATATTATCAAATGGTGTGGTGTCTTTATGAAAATTATAACTGGTTTCTTACTCGAAGCACCTTTGCGATCGTGCCATATTGAATTTGGTGTCAAATATATAATATATAGATCATGCCTCAATTCTTTCATCTTTGAAGTAACGTGATAATCATTTACACGCACGATCATCAAATTATTATATATCAGATATCAGTCTTAATTCAACGACTATTTAAATTTAATAGTCTCCTTTAATTTGTATAACAATCCATGCATGTATGTATGTATACACGATATTCATCTCTAGAGAGAGAAAGAGAAGAGAGAGAGACTCAGAAAATGAGGCACAAGGGCAAGCAACACTTCAGCCACGAGCACATGCTAATCCCCATCGAACTCGACGAGGGCGAAGAGTTCAAATGCAAAGCATGCGAAATGCCGATCGACGACCCCTTCTACGGGTGCCCCCCATGCAAATACTTTCTCCACGCAATTATTTGCTACGACGCACCTCGGTCCACCGTGCACCCATCTCACCCATCTCATCCATTGGCCCTCACGCCAATGCCGACCTATCCCAGCCGTTCGTTTACATGCAACGCGTGTGGATCCGACGGTAATAAGGGCTTCAGTCTGAGTTGTGCGCACTGCGAGTTCGATCTCCACCTCCATTGTGCCGAATTGCCCGGAACTTTTTTCTACGAGCGTGAACATGCCCATGATCTCAAGCTTGTTTTCGAACCGTCTTTGTGTAGGGATAAAACGACGAATGATCGGAATATTCCGTGCTATATATGTAATGAAGATCAGATTTCGTGGTTGTATTATTGTGAGGAGTGCAAGTATGTTGTGCATATGAAATGCTTGTACTCGAAATATGACGGTAAAAAAGAGACGAACGGGTCCGATGTCGCTTCTGTCGAAGCGGGACCCACTCATGGGGATGATGAGAATGTTATTAATGAGATTGATCATTGAGCTAACGCTAATTGAGGATTATAAATAAGATG